TTCCCCTGTTCTCCCCCCTCCCACCCCCTCCCCTTACCCCCAGCTCACCCCTCATTCCCACCTCCTCCAGGGCAAAGCCTCCCCCGAGGACTGCGATCAACCTAGTAGACTCAGTCCAGGCAGGTCCAGTCCCCCACTCCCAGACTGCAGGCTCTACATTTAACATCCAGCAGATTCTGTGAGCTGTTTACCAGCTTGCCACGGATACAGGGCTTTCGTTCCTTTCCCGGCCCTGGCAGACAAGCAGAAGCTGGAAGCCTGGAGCTTAAGTGCAGGGCCATGAGGGGGAGGGGGGCAGGGAAGCTCCTGGGTCATCGCTTAACCCGCTGCTCTGCTCTGAGTGAGACCTTCAGAGAGCGGAGAGGCGGTCTCAGGAAAAAGGCTTGATGCAGAAAGGCAGGTGTTGGAAGACGTGCTCTGGCCTTCCAGCTACTGCCTTCTGCCTCGCCCCAGTCTTTCACGGGGTTGGGGGGGGGGGAGTGGGCAGCTGTGTGGGTCCCTGACAGGCAGGTGCCTCGGGTACCCGGCATTATAAACGGTCTCCTGTGCAATGTGGGCAACGTGTGTCTTATCGTGGTTGTGCAGGTCGGGCCATAGCAGCTTGTGTCTGCCACTCTTCTTTGAAAAGCCCACCCCCACGGCCTCAGGTGAGCCTCACTTTACCCCCAAGCGCCTCTCTGTTTAACTCTTTCCCTCAAAACCTATGTCCAAAAAAAAAAAAAAAAGAAAAAGAAAAGAAAAAAGAAAGAAAGAAAAGTCTTTGAGTAAACTCCAACTGGGGCTGGAAGAGGGTGGCTCTGTGGTAAGAACTGGGACTTCTCTTCCAGAGGACTTGCGTTTGGTTCCCAGGACCCAAGTTTGGAAACTTACGGCATCTGTTAACTCCAGTTCCAGAGGATTCAATGCCCTTTTCTGTCCTCTGCAGACACTGCACCTCTGTACCCACACACAGTGTTAAAATAAACCTTAAAAAAACTCTCCGGCTTTGCATCATAATTGACTTGTGCCTTTTGTGGTGCTAGAAAATTAAAGCCAAGGTGTTTTCCGTGCTAGACAATCGCCACAGATGGGAGATTCCATCTAGTGGGTTGGTTTTGGTAGAAGGGTCTCACTATGGAGCCCTGGCTGGCCTGGAACTTGCTATGTAGACCAGGTTGCTTCAAACGTGGGACAACGTGACAATCCCTCCATCCCTTCATCGCTTCCTCTCAAGTGCTGGGACCACAGATAGAAGCCACCACACCTGGCTTTACCCCAGTTTTTATGTTGGGTTTAAGTAATTTAAAGTCGTTCCATAGTGCTGGTAGGTCTCCAGCTTTGTAAGGGCCTCACCAAGAATGAGTGAGTAGCTGGACCTGAGTGTGAGGGACCGCCCATCACAGAAGGGAACAGAGCACACAGTGTGACGGCTGCTGAAGCGTTGGTCAACTAATTCTTGATACCGCCACGCTATGAAGTAGATTTTGTTTTGTTTTGTCTGAGTTTTGGGGTGTTTGTTTCATGAGAGGGAGGGGTAGTGTCTTCAAGTTCTCTATGCAGCCAAGGAGAACCTCAGACTTGTGCTCCTCCTGCCTCTCCCTCCCCACTCTCCCCACTGATGGAATCACAGGGTGTGATTCCAGCCCTGGTTTCTGTGGGAGCAGGTTTAACGCTGGGCTGTGTGCTCACTAGGCAAGCACACAGCCCGGCCCCAGCCTCAGCACCAGCCCCGAGTGTTTGCTTTTAGAGGCAGGATTTCTTCAGATGGCCCAGGCTGGACATGCTCTCACAGCATCCTCCTGCCTCAGCATCTCCCACTCTGGAACTACAGGAGCACACCATCACACCTGCCTGAATGTTACTGTTCATTCTACTTTTGAGATGATCATATAGAGATTAGGGGGATTTGGTAGCATACGAGTACTTTGTTAAAAGGGGGGAAAAACAGTTATCCACCTCCTCGGGTCTTCCCCTACCCGGAGTGTTTTTCCACTGGCTGGAAATCTCCAGAGCTCCACTGCCACCAAAGCCTTCGAAAGAAATCTGCTTAAGAATGTCTGCCTCAGCAGGGCGTGGTGTTTGTGCCTGCTCTGCCAGCCTTTGAGCAGCTGAGGCAGGAGAACGGACATGAGTTCCAGCCAGCTTGGACTATCTCAAAAACAGAACAACAGAAACAAACCCCAGAGTCCGCCTCTGGGTTCACATGACCTGTTCCCTTCGTCTCCTCTGGGTGTGCTTAGAATTGTGTCATCTTTTAAGAACAAGGGGACTGAGAGGAAACTGGGCTGTTGATTAACTGTTTCCCTCCCCCCCAATAGAGAGGAGAGGAAAAAAGACGCCGCAGCCTCGGGCTGAGGAAGGCTCTCTCCCCTCAAGTGTTCTTGGCATCCTTTCCTGCCCCTGGTGCTCTCCACCCCTTAAAAGTCCTTCACAGCCTTCCAGTTCGGAACCCTGAACTCTGTTACTTCCAAATATGGAACTCAATAAAACCTAATTCCAGAATGAATCAAGTCCTCTTGGTGTGTGTGTGGGGGGGGGGGCAGACTGGAAATTAAATCCAGGGTGTCTTGGATTCTAAGCATGAATTCTACCAGCAGCGTGGGGTTCTTTCCGACCCTCCACCCACCCAGGAATTAAACCCATCACTGTGCTTCCCTCTCTGAAGCACCTAAACTAAAAGGACAGGAAATTTCAAAGATCTTCTTATGGAGAAATGGACGTGGGCGTGATGGTGGTCGTTCTGGTTAATTCTAGCACTTGTGTGAGTGAGAAAAGAGGATCATTCTGGCAGTGGTGGTGCACACCTTTAATCCCTGCACTTGGGAGGCAAAGGCGGGTGGATCTCTGTGAGTTCGAGGCCAGCCTTCCTGGCAGGGAGTGCCAGACTACCCTTTGCTACAGAATGAGACCCTGTCTCAAAGTTTCTTTTAAAGATGTATTCTAAATATTGCTGATTCACAGGGCAGAAGGAATAAACCCAGGGCTATCAGTGGCCACAGATGGTGGCAAGCAGGCCTCTGGAAGTGACTAGGCAGCTAACATGGGCTCCTGGAGGAATCCCCAGCCAGAGATGCACAGAGTAATGGAAAAACCCCTGAAGTTTAACCAGTTTGACTAGATCCTAGATCTGGGTGGTGATTCATTAGAACTGAATTCATTAGCTCTGACTATGGAACAAGCTGCAGCCTGCCAAGGACACAAACAGGGGATCTATGCATCTTCAGAACACTGGCTGAGATCAGCAAACTACAGCACAATGAAATGCCCTTGATTCCAGGGAGATACAGACTTTCGCACGCACACACAGGAGATGCCAAGGAGCTGTGTTCAAAGCAGGGTCCCATCCAGAAACCGCCTCCTCCCGTTCACACTCAGAAAGCTAAGGTAGCCTGTGGTGCATGTGCATGCCTGGAATTCCAGTACCTGGGAGTAAAGGCTGGAGGATCGAGGGCTTAAGGCCAGCCTTGACTACTACACAGTAAGTCCAGGGACAGCCTGGGCTGCATGAGACCCTACCAAAATAAATAAATAAATAAAAAATAAAAGGAAAAAAAAAAGATTCATGTATATAGTCTCTCCCTGCTGTGGATTGTTACCTGTTACCTCAGAAATAAGGTTCTAATACACCCTCATTTTTTTTCCTTTTTTGAGAGAGACAGGCTCTAATGTAGCCCAGGCTGGCCTCAAACTCCTGATCCTCCTGCCTGCACCTCCCAAGCACGGGCCACCATACCCAGCAGCCTCTTACTGCGGTTTCAGGGATCTAACTAGGGTCTTTACTCCTTACACAGGAGGAGGAAGAGGGGCAGGGGGCGAGGAAGAAGATCACTGACGACTCATGTATTTATGATCGAAGCAGGAACAGATGAGGCACTGAACGTTGACGAAAAAGCTAAGCGGGAGCCCAGCACCTCTGCCTGAGGGTCTCACCCAACACTTGGCTTTAAATGCACTGTGAGGTCTCTCCATCTACAGGAGGTGACTGGTGAGGGGCGGCGGGCACAGCCAGAAGAACCAAAAAGACCTCTAAGTTAACCCTGACCTTAGTACCGCGGTCACAGAAAGAAAGGTGCTACGCGAAGGAAAAGCCACGCTGGCAATCTCCACTTTCTTTAAAATGTTTTCAGACAGGGTCCCGTGTGTAACGAGGCTGGCCCTGGACTCGCTGCAGTCCTCCTGCCTCAGCCTCTCAGACGCTGGGGTAACGGGTGCGAGCCACGACGCCCCGCCAACTTCTATGGAAAGTTTTCCTTACTAATGCCAGGCTGCAGCCTGGGGCACAGGGAGTGGCCGCGGCCTGGCACGGTGCGCTCAGCCTGCCCTCCCGCGGCTGCGGGGACACTTTCCTTATTCGGGTCCCAGGTCCCCCGCCCCGAGAACCAGCGCTTACACACCGATTTTCTCCCGCACACCCGAGGACCCCTGCGCGGCCATCTACTGCTGACTCGTACGGTGACCGCGATGTAAACACCCCAGAGCAAACACTGTCCTGCGTGAGCGCCTCTCTCTTCCCCCTGTAAACCGAAGATGGGAAAGAACGGACCGACAGACATTCCTCGGGCGGCCGGGCGCTGTCACTCCACGCGGCCAGGACCCAATCACAGCCCCTTTCGGCCAAGCGTTATCCCGCCTCCTTGGAGAAACTGTCTGTGTCCCCGACCTGTGGAAGAGGTGAGGACGCCTTAAACCCCTCGCTGGTCGGAGCCCCGTACGCCTCTCCCGGCCCAGCACCTCCAGGCGCTGACCCTTCCCAGCTTCACCCCAGAGGCCGCCGCGGTCCGTCGCCATGGCGACAGCACGTCCGGCCGCCTCGCCCCGCCCCCGCCCCGCCCCCCCAGGAACCCCGCTTCTCCAGCGGGACCCAGGAGTGTCTGGAGAGTTCTGGACCGGGGCGGCTCCCTACACACCGGTGACTCACCAGACGCGAAGCTGCTGGAAGATTCCGGTCCCCACGGCCGCCTCCGGCTCGCTGATTGGGCCCGGGGAGGGCGGGCGGGGCCGGAGGGCGCTCCTTAAAGGCGCGGGGCGGCGCGCAGAGCTCCAGACGCCCATTGCAGTCCCAGCCAGGAGTCTCCGTTTCCCGTCCGAGCGCAGAGAAGCGGAGCAGCGCGATCCCGACCCCCGGCCAGGACCAGCCTCCCCCGGAGCCTCCCCGACGCAGAGCGCAGCCTCCCCCCGAGCCTCCCGGACGCAGAGCGCCGAACCCCGGCAGCGGAGAGCCAGCGGCGCCATGGCCAAGAGCACGGCGATCGGCATCGACCTGGGCACCACCTACTCGTGCGTGGGCGTGTTCCAGCACGGCAAGGTGGAGATCATCGCCAACGACCAGGGCAACCGCACGACCCCCAGCTACGTGGCCTTCACCGACACCGAGCGGCTCATCGGCGACGCGGCCAAGAACCAGGTGGCGCTGAACCCGCAGAACACCGTGTTCGACGCGAAGCGGCTGATCGGCCGCAAGTTCGGCGACGCGGTGGTGCAGTCGGACATGAAGCACTGGCCCTTCCAGGTGGTGAGCGACGGCGACAAGCCCAAGGTGCAGGTGAGCTACAAGGGCGAGACGCGGGCCTTCTACCCGGAGGAGATCTCGTCCATGGTGCTGACGAAGATGAAGGAGATCGCCGAGGCGTACCTGGGCCACCCGGTGACCAACGCGGTGATCACGGTGCCCGCCTACTTCAACGACTCGCAGCGGCAGGCCACCAAGGACGCGGGCGTGATCGCGGGCCTGAACGTGCTGCGCATCATCAACGAGCCCACGGCGGCCGCCATCGCCTACGGCCTGGACCGGTCCGGCAAGGGGGAGCGCAACGTGCTCATCTTCGACCTGGGCGGCGGCACGTTCGACGTGTCCATCCTGACGATCGACGACGGCATCTTCGAGGTGAAGGCCACGGCGGGCGACACGCACCTGGGCGGGGAGGACTTCGACAACCGGCTGGTGAGCCACTTCGTGGAGGAGTTCAAGAGGAAGCACAAGAAGGACATCAGCCAGAACAAGCGCGCCGTGCGGCGCCTGCGCACGGCCTGCGAGCGCGCCAAGAGGACCCTGTCGTCCAGCACGCAGGCCAGCCTGGAGATCGACTCCCTGTTCGAGGGCATCGACTTCTACACGTCCATCACGCGGGCGCGCTTCGAGGAGCTGTGCTCGGACCTGTTCCGCGGCACGCTGGAGCCCGTGGAGAAGTCTCTGCGGGATGCCAAGATGGACAAGGCTAAAATCCATGACATTGTCCTGGTGGGCGGCTCCACGCGCATCCCCAAGGTGCAGAAGCTGCTGCAGGACTTCTTCAACGGGCGCGACCTCAACAAGAGCATCAACCCGGACGAGGCGGTGGCCTACGGGGCGGCGGTGCAGGCGGCCATCCTGATGGGGGACAAGTCTGAGAACGTGCAGGACCTGCTGCTGCTGGACGTGGCGCCGCTGTCGCTGGGCCTGGAGACGGCGGGCGGCGTGATGACGGCGCTCATCAAGCGCAACTCCACCATCCCCACCAAGCAGACGCAGACCTTCACCACCTACTCGGACAACCAGCCCGGGGTGCTGATCCAGGTGTATGAGGGCGAGAGGGCCATGACGCGCGACAACAACCTGCTGGGGCGCTTCGAGCTCAGCGGCATCCCGCCGGCGCCCCGGGGCGTGCCCCAGATCGAGGTGACCTTCGACATCGACGCCAACGGCATCCTGAACGTCACGGCCACCGACAAGAGCACGGGCAAGGCCAACAAGATCACCATCACCAACGACAAGGGCCGGCTGAGCAAGGAGGAGATCGAGCGCATGGTGCAGGAGGCCGAGAGGTACAAGGTGGAGGACGAGGTGCAGCGGGAGAGGGTGGCGGCCAAGAACGCGCTCGAGTCCTACGCCTTCAACATGAAGAGCGCCGTGGAGGACGAGGGCCTCAAGGGCAAGATCAGCGAGGCCGACAAGAAGAAGGTGCTGGACAAGTGTCAGGAGGTCATCTCCTGGCTGGACGCCAACACGCTGGCCGAGAAGGAGGAGTTCGTGCACAAGCGTGAGGAGCTGGAGAAGGTGTGCAGCCCCATCATCAGCGGGCTGTACCAGCAGGGGGCGGGGGCCCCCGG